CCCTCGATGTCGCCGCGCCGAGGGGAGCCCGGGCTCGGTGCCAGGGCTGGAGAGGCGTCTGCTGCCACCGCAGCCTGGTCTGCCATCGCTCGCATCGCCGACGGCACTGCCGAGGGGCAGGGAAGCAGCGGTCACAGCTGGAAGGGCCCCGTGTCACCGCGGACACAGAACATCCCTGCTCCGCTCCTGCCTCCCCATGGGCATCGCCCCGGGGCATCTCCCGGACCCTCACCCCGCCTGCCAGCCTGTTTTGGGATGGCTCCTAGGCTGAGCTCCGTGGCTGCATGTGGGAACACGCGTGTCCAAGGAGGATCAACCCCAGCCGGGCAATGGAGCTGCCAAACAGGGGGATTTTCCACATCGGGATATTCCACTGCTCCCAGTGCCAGCCCAGGGCTGCCAGGCCAGCGGGCAGGACTCCCTGACTCCTCTAAAAGTTCCTGGTTTGGCCCCTGCTTCGAGCACTGCATGGATCCAAAATGGAGCCAGCCCAAGCTGTGGCCCCAGTGCCCAGGCAGCAATCTCTGGCTTCACTGGGGGTGCAGAGGACAAAACTTTTTCTAACACGAAGTTTCCATTGTCCTGAGGGGGTTCATGGCCTCAAAGAAGTGCTGTCCTGTCCCCTGTCCTGTCCCCACCAGCCACCACCACCCCTCCCTGCTGCTCTCCTGCCCCAGCCGTGGCTGACCTGCTCTGATCCATGTCCCCTTTGTGATTTTGGGAGGGAGAAGGGATCTGCAGGACGGGCTCTGCAGGGCCAGCGTGGTGCTGAGTCAGCTCCCAGTGGGTCCCTGGGGTGCTCAGCCCCTCCCTGCCCCCTTCCCCTCACAGCAGCCCTGCAGCAGCAGCAGGAATGCATCCCAGGGACCCCGGGGCTGCCGCCCTGGATCTCCAGAGCTCCTCAGTGCCAGGAATTAATCACAGCCTGTGCCGCAGCTGCCTCCAGCCCCCTTTATATAATCTCAGCTCTTGCTTCGCTTCTCCTTTGCAGGAGCCACTTGTTAACCCCAGATCAGCCACGTGTGGTTGTCCCGGTGGTCCCAGCCCCTGGCACAGAGCCTGGCTGGTGCTGGTGGCACTGCTGGCACCACCAGCAAGGCACCAAAACAGCCAAAGGAGGAGTGAGCAGGGCCTGAGAGGAAGCTGCTTCAGGGGAAGGTGCCCCTTTAAGGTCCCTTCCAGCCCAAAGCACTGCATGGTTCTGTAAAACAGCCAAAGGAGGAGTGAGCAGGGCCTGAGAGGAAGCTGCTTCAGGGGAAGGTGCCCCTTTAAGGTCCCTTTCAGCCCAAAGCATTCCATGGTTCTGCGATTCCAAGGATTCTGTGAGCCCTCCCCTGACACTGGACAGGGCCCTGCCCACCTCCCACCCAGCACTGCAGCCTGGACCATGCCCTCACCACGCAGGGCTCCCAGTGGCCCCCCGTGTCCCACTCCCAGTATCCCCAGTATCCCCAGTGTGCCCAGCATGCCCAGTATCCCCAGCATGCCCAGTATGCCCAGTATCCCCAGTATCCTCAGTATTCCCAGTATCCCCAGCATGCCCAGTATCCCCAGGATGCCCAGTATGCCCAGCATGCCCAGTATGCCCAGTATTCCCAGTATCCCCAGCATGCCCAGTATCCCCAGGATGCCCAGTATGCCCAGCATGCCCAGTATCCCCAGTATCCTCAATATTCCCAGTATCCCCAGGATGCCCAGTATCCCCAGGATGCCCAGTACTGCCCAGCACCCCTGGCTGCTCCTACCAGAACACCCCTGGGCTGGTGCTCGGAGGGTCCCTGCCAGGTCAGGGGGACAGTGTCTCCCCAGTGCTGGCCTTGGTGCTCCTTGTGCTCCACTCCACCGTGCCCAGCTCTCCGTTCCCACCGCGCCCGTACTCGTGGGTTTTAAAAGCTAAAAAAAAAAAAAAAAAATAAAAAAAAAAAAAAATTTTTCCCCAAAAAAAGTCTGTTTCCTGAGAGACCATTAGCACCGTGGAAGACAGAGATAATAATAGCCTGGGTTTGTATGGGAGTTCTCCTCTGGCAGGGATGGTGAGTACAGAGGGGGTTACACTGCTGCTGCAGCCACCTCTGGGGAGGGTGGGGACAGCAGGACAGACCCTGCTGGCTGTCCTGGCTGGAATGGCAGCACCCGAGGGGCAGGTGCAGCCCTGGAGGAGGCTTTGCTGCTCCTCAGGCTCCAGGGAGCCAGCACTGAGCGTGGAGGTGCCCCAGCACTGGCCCCTCCCAGCCTGCAGCTGGTCCCCAGGCTGTGGCCCTGCAGGACCAGGGGCATCTTTGTGCTCTTTGCAGGATAAATCAGACATGAAGGTCCTTGCAAGTGTTGTCACGGGGGCAGCTGGGTGGGCTCGGTGGGGTCACGGGGCAGTGGGGTGATGCTGGCTTTGGAGGGGTGATGCCACCCCTGCCAGGACATCCCTGAGAAGGATTGGGGCTGAGTGGGGTGTGTGCTGAGGGACACCCAGCCCAGCACGGTCACATCTGTGCAGGGCAGGGACACAAGAGCCCTAATGACAGTGTCCCCCCTCGCTGTGTGTGCACACACCAGGGCCATGGCCATCAGTGAGCCTCTCCCTGGATTCCAGCTGCAAAATTCCACTCCTTGCTCCCAGATTTGGTTCAAATTCAGGGCTTGACACGACCTGACAGAGACAAGCTGTGACCCAGCTTGGGCTGGTGTCCTGGAGTGTCTCCCCCTGGAACATTCCCTCACATGGCAGCAGCCTGGCACGGTGGGAGCTCCTGGGGGGGCACCGCCTGCTTGGTCTTTGCTTTGGTTGTAGGATCAGGGAGTTAATTGAAATATCAACTTCATTAACTTCTCTCAGTCCTCGGTGGTTAATTAGGGTGGCAGTGGTGCTGCTGGCGGGGACGTGGCACCACAGCAGCGCTTTCCTCAGCCAGCCAAAGGAGCTGGAAATCCCTCTCTAATTATCTGCACAAAACACCGTGACAGAGCCCGGCTGTGACTCTGTCCCTGCATTATCCCGGGATCAGGGAGCACTGGGGTGGCTTTGAGGGAATTCTGCAAGCTCAGATGTAACTTTGGCCAGTGGCGGGGCAGTGTGGGATCCCAGCTCCATCCTCTGCTCCCAGTTCCACATCACAGGGGTTTTACTGGTGGATCCTGGAGCGGGTTTTGTGCTCCTGGGGGAGCAAGAAGCCAGGTGGGCTTTGGAGGGCTTTGGAATGCCTGAGAGCCTGCCAGCCCCAGGAACCACTCCCAAAGCCTGTCCTGCGCATCCCAGGGCTGGAGCCCAGCCCTGCCTCTCTCTGGGCTCTGCCTCACTCCCGTTCTCAGCCATTCCCAGTCTCTGCTCGTCTTCCAGGGGCTCTCAGCCGTGGGGAAGGACCCAGACACTTCCCACATCCATCCCATTCCCGCCGGCACAGCCTCGCCGCAGGAATTGCAGGGAGCAGCAGTTATCCCATGGATGATGCTGCCGAGAGCTCCTGGCAGCTGCAGCTCCTTCCACCGCCTGCAAATCCACACCCCTGAGGTGCGCGGGGCCCTGGAGTCTATTTGCAGCTTTCCCTGACATCCCGCTCCTCTGATCTCGGTGGATCTTACGGGAGGCGCTTTCAAAGCAGCGCATCCCCCTCCTCCTCCTCCTCCTCCTCCTCCTCCTCCCTCCCGTGCGGTCCCCGGCCGTGCGGAGCCCCTTCCTCCCCCTGCCCCGGCTCCTGCCCCGGCTCATCAATCCCCGGGGCTGCGGCGGGAGCTCAGCCCGCCCGGGATGAAGCCTGAGCTAATTCAAAGCGGCAGCATGCAGAGGGCAGCCCCACGCCGGGGTCCCGCAGCCCCGGGGCAGCTCCGGGCGCGTCCCTTGGCATTCGGGAGCCGGGATCCATCCCAGCGCAGGGCCAGGGCAGCACAGCCAGACCCCGCGTTTTGTCTAAAGGGCACCAAGATTTTTTTTTTTCCCCCTCTTCCACCAAGGAAGGTGCCGCTTCCAGCAGAGCCTAAGCCCGGGGACTCATCCGGGAGAGAGGTTTTGGATAAACTACCCGAGCAGGGATTTGCGGTGCTGATCTCAGGAAGGAGAAGGGAGCTGCAGCAGCTCAGCCCCTTTGGAACCTGCCCAGGTTCACCTTCAAAGCCCTCACCTTGCCACATGCCGGGCTGTCGCCTCCTCCTCCTCACCGGGACCCCCGAACCCACCGCGGGCCCCGGTCAGACCCCGCATCCCCCCGGGTGACCCCGCTCTGCTCTCCCGGGACAGGGTGGTCCCTGGGGTGGTCCCTGGGGTGCCCGCACCCATCCCCGGAGCGCCTGAGGGACCCCCGGTCCCATCCGCCCCCAACCCTGCTGGGGACACCGGGGCTGCCCGGCCCCGCCGCCCGGCCCGGGGCCCCGCAGCGCCGGTACCTGCGGCAGGCGGGGGGGCCGGGGAGCCGGGAGGGGTCGGTCGGTCCCGGTGGATGAGAAGGACGAGCAATGCCGGGGAATCGGAGCGGTCCCAGCGCCGGGGGAGGATAACGGGGGGTCAGTCCCGGTACCGGGGGTACCGGGGAAGAAGAGCCTGTGCCCGCGCCAGTGACGGTGCCGGTGCTGGTGTCAGTGAGGCCGGTCGGTCCTGGTGCCGGGATCCAAGGAGCGATGCTGGTGCCGGAGCGGTGCCGGTTGCGGTACCGGCGGTGAAGAGCCGGTACCGGCAGCCCCGCCGCGGTCCCGCTGCCGGTTGCAGATGCCCAGAGCCGGGCTGGCGCCCGCCCCGCTCGCACCGGTGGTGCCGGAGCATCCGCAGCCCCGAGCCGGCTCCGCGCTCCGCCCCGCGCCCCCCCTGCCCCCTGCCCGCGCTCCGAGCTGCGGGTCCCGGGGGATGACGGAGGGGTTCGGAGCGGGGTCCCCCCGGTACCGGGACCGCTCCGGGACCGCGCCGGTACCGCCGGGCCCGCAGCGCCCTCTGCGGGCGGCGGGGCGGGACCGGGGGAGGGACCGGGGAGGGACACGGGGGTGGCCCGGTGTGGGGAGGGACACGGGGGTGGCCCGGTGGATGGGCGTGGCGGAGGCGCGGCCGGGGAACGGAACGGAACGGAACAGAACGGAACGGAACGAGCGGCGGGCGCAGCCATGTCCTTCTGCTCCTTCCTGGGGGGAGAGGTGTTCAAGGATCACTTCCAGCCGGGTGAGGGGCGCTCCCCGCGGGCCCCGGGGGGTCCCCAGCGGGGCGGGCAGGGGGTGTCCCCCCCCAGAATCTCTTCCCCCCCCCGGGTGAGCGGTTGATGGGGGGTTAGGGGGGGTTTCCTTCTGCCGAGCATCCTCCAGCCGAGGGTCCGGGCGGGGGTCCCCCCTCTGCGGTGCTTGCTGGGGTCCTCCCGACGGGGTGGGGGGTCCCGATAGGGACTCGGGGGTTCGGTCCCTGTGTGAGCCCCTTGTGGGGATCTGCCCTGCGGGAACCCCTGTGGGCAGTGGGAGTGCTGCCCCTCCACCCCCTGCCTGGCCCTGGGGGTGCCCTGAGATTCCTGGGGTTGCCCTGGGGTTCCCTGGGGGTGCCCTGGGGTTCCCTGGGGGTGCTCTGGGGATGCCCTGGGGATTCCCTGGGGGTGCTCTGGGGGTTCCCTGGGGGTGCCCTGGGGATGCCCTGGGGATTCCCTGGGAGTGCTCTGGGGGTTCCCTTGGGGTTCCCTGGGGGTGCTCTGGGGGTTCCCTGGGGGTTCCCTGGGGGTGCCCGGGGGTCCGGCAGCCGTGCTGTCCCGCGGGTGTCCCGTGTCCCCATGCTGACGTGTCCCCGCGCTGTCCCCCCGCCGTGCCCTCCCCGCAGGTATTTACGTGTGTGCCAAGTGTGGCCATGAGCTGTTCTCCAGCCGTGCCAAGTACGAGCACTCGTCGCCGTGGCCAGCCTTCACCGAGACCCTGCGCGGGGACAGCGTGGCCAAGCGCGAGGAGCGCCCGGGGGCGCTGAAGGTGCGACCCCCGAACCCCCGGGATGGGACAAAAACACCCGGGGCTGGGACAAAAACACCCGGGGCTGGCTCTCCGTGAGCCCCTGGAAAGCCACATTGCTGTCAACCTCTCTCCTTCCTTCCCCAGGTGACGTGTGGCAAGTGTGGCAACGGGCTGGGCCACGAGTTCCTCAACGATGGCCCCAAGAGGGGCCAGTCCCGCTTCTGAATATTCAGCAGCTCGCTGAAGTTCGTCCCCAAAGGTACCAGAGGTGGCTTGGCCCCTGTCCCAGCGCAGGGAGTTGGTTTTGGGCATGCTGTGAGTGCTGCACTGCTTGCAGCAGCCCTGGCCGGGCTGATAAGGCCAGGGAGCTGCTCCTGGGGTACATCCAGCTCACTCTGCCCAGCTCGGGGCTCCCTGATCCCAGCTGGAGCTCCTGGGTAAATCCAGCTCACTCTGCCCAGCTTCTGGCTCTGAGCAGCACCCAGGACTCTGTGGCTTTGAGGGGTGGCTGAGTTTTGGGGGGTTTCTCTGGGGGTGCAGAGCGAGGGCAGGGAGTTTCTGTGCTGGCACTGAGGGGCTGGGGGGGGTTGCTGGCACTCCCTGGAGAAGTTGTCAAAGGAAAAACTCTCAAGGAAAGGCCTCAGGAGGCCAAATTCCAGGCAGCAGCACGGCCATGAGCTGCTGGCCTGCTGGTCAGGCTGTGGTGGTGGGGATCATGTGTAGCAAAACCCCAAATAAAAAGGGCTGGATGTTCTGGAGGAAGAAACACGAGCCCTGATTGCTCCTCCCCTGTTTTTAGGTAAAGCTGACCTGAAGGAGAAGTAAGTGAGCTGCTGCACCTGCCACTGCCCTGGGCTAATCCTGCCTCCACTGCCTGGGATGCACTGTCTGCCAAGGGGACCCACAGCAGGAGCAACCCCAGGGATGCTCCTGGTCCAAGTTTGCCCCTGATTTCCTGGTCACGGTTTCCCCTTGATTTCCCTGTCAGGGTTTTATTCCCTGATTTCCCTGTCAAGGTTTTATTCCCCGATTTCCCTGTCAGGGTTCCCCTGTTTTCCCTGTTGCAGTTCCCCTTGATTTCTGTCACGGTTGCCCCCTGATTTCCCTATCCCAGTTCTCTCCTGGTTTCGCTGGTCCGGTTCCCCCCTGGTTTCTCTCTCACAGTTCCTCCCTGGTTTCTCTCTCACGGTTCTCTCCTGGTTTCCCTGGTCCAGTTTCTCCCTGGTTTCCCTATCCCAGTTCTCTCCTGGTTTCCTTGTCACAGTTCCTCCCTGGTTTCCCTGTCAAGGTTCTCCCTATCCCAGTTCTCTCCTGGTTTCCCTATCCCAGTTCTCCCCTGGTTTCCCTGCCCCAGTTCCCCCCAGGTTTCCCTGGCCCAGTTCCCCCAGGTTTCCCTGCCCCAGTTCCCCCTGGTTTCCCTATCCCAGTTTCTCCCTGGTTTCCCTATCCCAGTTCCCCCCAGGTTTCCCTGGCCCAGTTCCCCCCAGGTTTTCCTATCCCAGTTCCCCCAGGTTTCCCTGGCCCAGTTCCTCTCTGGGGCTGTTCCAGCTCCATGCCAGGAGCTGCAGTGCCTGTGCTGAGCCTGGGAGCCTTTGCTGCTGACAGTGTCCAGAGCCTGGCAGGCACTGCTCAGTCCAGGAGGCTGTGCTGGCACTCCCAGGGAGTGAGGCAGGATTAGCTGAGCTCAGGGTCAGGGTTAATCCCTGGAGCTATTCTGGGATCATGCTATGAAGTGCCCTATATAAACCCTTCCAGGGTGCTGGGGCAGGGATGTTTGATGGTCCCACTGGGCAGCATCCAGGTGTTTTCCCCCCTGCCCACCTCCCACCCTGCAGGGACGGTTCCACACCAGTGTCCTCGGCTCTGCCCTGGCCTTACACCTGACTCAGCACTGTGCAATCAATTCCAGGGGCACTCAGAGTCCTCCTGGCCCTGCTCTGTGGGAGGGAGGCTGGACCTGTGCCCAGGGGCTGTGCTTGGCACTGCTCAGGCTCTGGGAATCGTGGCTGTGCTGCCTCAGTGCTCCCAAGGGCTGCCACACTGATTCTGCTGAATTCCAGTGCCTCATTCCTGCCTGTCCCAGGAGCCAAATCCTCCTCTGGAATGGGTACACCAGGATCTTTAATGAGGGAAGAGGCTGTTGCTGACCCGTGGGGTTTTGGGGGCTGCGCTGTGGGTGCAGCTCCACTCAGGGGACACCTTGGGGACTTTTCTCTCCACGTGTTTTCCCTCAATCCCACGGATCCAGGGGCACCAGGCGAGGTTTGCCACCCCTGGAGCTCACTGCTGGTCTCTCCATGCTGAAATAAAGCACTGATTCACTGTGTTGGAGTGTTGAACACGCTGGGAATGGCATCCCTGGGTTCCTCTCTGCTCCCTGGCTGGGGGCTGGGGGCTGGGTGTGGGGGGTGTGTGCTTTTACCTGGAATCTCTTCCCATTTCCCCAGGTTTGCCATTGGAAAGGGGGTTGGGGCTTTCCCAGAGCCAAAACTCCACTGGGAAGGTTTCCTTTCACTCCACTTAGCACTTTTTCCTAAATTAAGGCATTTTTGGCTTGTCCCAAGGGTGTTCTTGGCACTTCCTGGGCTGTCAGGATTTTCTGGGCACAGGGAGATGAGTTTCTCACCAGAGTTCCCCTGCAGGACTGGAAGCCACAACCCTCAGTCTCACACGGGATCTTCACCCCCTTGGAGCTGGATCCCTGAGCCTGGAGACTTGAGCTGGGCTTTGCCAGGCTGCAGTTCCCTGCTCCAAGGGGGTGAAGTCCCCTCTGGAGCTCTCCAGTGCCAGCTCTCCCCCCACTGCCCTCACCTCGGGTCAACCTCCAGCTCTGATCATTCACCAGGTTCCAGTCTGAAGGTCCAGTCTGCCTTTTCACTCATTAATCCTTGGGTTTTAGGGCATTGAGGGGGAATTCTTCCCTGGCAGGGTGGGCAGGCCCTGGCACAGGTGCCCAGAGCAGCTGTGGCTGTCCCTGGATCCCTGGCAGTGCCCAGGCCAGGCTGGACAGGGCTTGGAGCAGCCTGGGACAGTGGGAGGTGTCCCTGCCATGGCAGGGGTGGCACTGGGTGGGATTTAAAGTCCCTCCAACCCAAACCATTCCAGGATTCTCCAGGCCGGATGACATCTACGTGAGCCCTGCAGGTGTGGAAGGAAGGGATTTTTGGAGTGATTTCCCACAAGGTGCTGCAATGGGAGGAAACCCTGGGAGTGCCAGCACTGAGGAGATGGCAGAGCCTTCTCCCCATTGTGGGCAGCGTGTGCCAGGGATCCAGCCGGGATTCCAACATCCCTGCCCTGCCCAGCAGCCCGTGCCAGGGATCCAGCCGGGATTGATCCATCCCTGCCCTGCGCAGCATCCCGTGCCAAGGATCCTGCCAGGATTGCTCCATCCCTGCCCTGCGCAGCATCCCGTGCCAAGGATCCTGCCAGGATTGCTCCATCCCTGCCCTGCGCAGCATCCCGTGCCAAGGATCCTGCCAGGATTGCTCCATCCCTGCCCTGCGCAGCATCCCGTGCCAAGGATCCTGCCAGGATTGCTCCATCCCTGCCCTGCGCAGCATCCCGTGCCAAGGATCCTGCCAGGATTGCTCCATCCCTGCCCTGCGCAGCATCCCGTGCCAAGGATCCAGCCAGGATTGCTCCATCCCTGCCCTGCGCAGCATCCCGTGCCAGGCATCCAGCCGGGATTCCAACATCCCTGCCCTGCCCGCAGCGGATCCAGCCGGGATTCCAGGCTGCCTTGCAGTTTGTGGATGCGGGCACGGGAGGGTGCAAGTGCCTTTCCCAACCCTTCCAGGGAGGGAAGGGAACGGAAGGAGGAGGATGCTCCTGTGGGATCCCTGCACCCACCCCTGCAGCAACAAGGAAATACCCCCGGAGCCAAAACCTCCCCCCGGGATGGTTTAAACAGGGGTGGGGCATTTTCATGGAAATCTGTCTGGAGAGGGGATTTTAGCAGGAATATTGAAGACCTGAGGGTGGAGAGCTCCAGGCAGCACCTGGTGCTGAGGATTCAGGATGCAATCCCGCAGGAGGAATCCTATCCCATCATCCCATCCCATTATCCCATCCCATCCCCCAAGCACCCTCAGCCCTGGGCACACACGGTCCTTCCCCGGACCCCGGGGCACTCGGAATTCTGCTTTTCCCCCCTCACTGCATGGCCCGGACATTCCCTGTGCCATTCCCCCTGCTTTAATTATCCCACTAATGACAGCTCTGCCTTAACGAGAGGATTTTCCTCAGTCGGGAGCAGCCGCCCCAGCCCGGCTTTAACGACACAAATTAAATTACGTTTCCAGGCCGACGCAAACTTCCCTGATTGTTTAAGAAATCGCTCATTTCCTCCCCCGTAGCCTCCAGCTGACCTCCCTTCTGAGTTTTGTGGGTTTTTTTTCCCCCGAATGCCACGCACGGGACCTGCCCCTGACCCTCCCCGGGATGGCTCCAGCCGCCGGCAAAGCATCCAGAGCCCGCCAAGATTTAGATTAATTCTCCAATAAGACAACAAGCCCTATAGAAATGATGTTATCCGAGGAAAAGGCAAATGACCTGGAGGCACTCGGAAGCTCTAATTACCGCTGCTCCTCGGAGCCAGCGCCTGGCTGCTCCTGCTCCTGCACCCTGGAATTCTCAGTGCGTTTCCAGAGGCTGCCCAGCATCGCAGGGATGGCTCCTTTCATATTTGTGTGGTTTTATTGAATTTTATCCTCTGATCCATGGTTTTTCCTGCTCCTGGAATTCTCAGTGCGTTTCCAGAGGCTGCCCAGCATCGCAGGGATGGCTCCTTTCATATTTGTGTGGTTTTATTGAATTTTATCCTCTGATCCACGGTTTTTCCTGCTCCAAAAGGCCAAAGCAGCACTTTTGGGGGGTTACACATCCTTCTGGACAGGAGCACAGCCTGGCTCCGTCACTCCCAGCAGACTTTGTCTTCGTGCCAAGCTGTGCCAGCTCCCACCCCCTTGGTGCCCTTTGGCATCAGTTTGCTTCTAAGGGATTATTTGGGTTCTTTTGGGGGCTGTGAAAATGCAGGTGTTGTGTTAATTACAGGAAATAAAGGGATGGAAATGAATAAAAATCCTACCCCATGGTGATTTCCCGGTGGCAGGAGGAGAGGAGCCTCCATCACCTCACCTGTCCCAGCACCTCCAGCTGCAGAGAAGCCAAGGTTTATTCCAGCAACAACAGCTTCACCTCCCTATCCCAAACCCCAGCTCTGCTTCTTTGGGGTCTGTCGTGTGTGTTAATTAGGGAGATAATGACTGGAGACACCCAGAGCGAGTCTGAGCACGCCAGAAAAATGTTTAGCCCGAGGAAAATTTTAATCCTTTTTTTTTTTTTTTTTTTCCCCCTTCCCTGTCTGTCGAGATCTGACTTTTTAAGGCAATTAGTGAGGGTTTAGTTGTTAATCAGTCATACTTAGACACTTGCTTTGGGGTCTGATCTCCTGCTCCCAAGTGAGCATCGCCTGGAATCACGCCTGGAATCACCAGCTTCATTTTTGATGTGGGAAATGTCTGTTCCAGGTGGGAAATACCTGTCCCAGGTGTGTTCCTGTGCTCAGCACCAGGAGCTTTAGGTGGGATCACGGGAAAACTTTTCCATGGAAGAGATTTTAAAGGCCTGGAGCTCCTGGAGGAGTCAGCAGCCCTGGAGGAGATGGTGGCCCTTGAGGGTGTGAGTTAGTTGTGACCACGGTGGTGCTGGTTGGACCTGATGAGCTCAAAGGTCCTTTCCAACCTCGACAGCTCCATGATTCCATGCCTGGAGAGCCCTGTCCCTCCTCATCCCAAGACATCCCAGGTGTTTGAGGGTGGCTTCCTTGAGGGTGTGCCAGGAGCTGCCTGGGGTGGCACTGACCCCCCTGTGCCGTGGGACAGAGCCAGCAGGGGACAGTCACAGCCCTGCTGTCACACCCAGCCCGGAGCTGGGTGACCCCAAACCACAGCACCCCCTGGAAGGGCTTGCCAGGGAGGATTGTGGATATTCTCAGTTTAGCTGAAGAAAGAAGAGAGATTATTTTGCTCAGGCTGAGCCTGAGAAACTTAAGGAAAAGAATTAAAACAATTATTATCTCTCTTTTTGAAATTGTTTATAGATATATTTTAGAGTGTGTTATTTGTAATTCACTAATAGAGTGAGAAGTTTTTACTCTGAGACTAATCAAGTCTAAGCTTAGTGAGTTGCATCATAAAAAGATGTGCTACTCTCTATTAAATGTTCTTTATTCACCTTCTGAAGACTAAACTCTTTCTTTCTGTCCCTGACTCAACAGAGACAGAGGATGTTCCAGGCTGTGCCAGCACCACTCCAGCCCCGTGCCAGCATCAGCCCAGCCCTGCCAGCATCAATCCAGACCTGAGAGCACCAGTCCAGCCCTCCCAGCAGTGCTCCAGCCCCACATCAGCACTTTTCTGTCCCTGACTCAACAGAGACAGAGGATGTTCCAGGCTGTGCCAGCACCACTCCAGCCCCGTGCCAGCACCAGCCCAGCCCTACCAGCATCAATCCAGCCCTGTGAGCATCATCCCAGCCCTGCCAGCACCAATCCAGCCCTGTGAGCACCAGTCCAGTCCTCCCAGCACTGCTCCAGCCCCACATCAGCATCATCCCAGCTCCATGAGCATCATCCCAGCCCTGTGAGCATCCTGCCAGCCCTGAGAGCATCATCCCAGCCCTGTGAGCATCCTGCCAGCCCTGAGAGCATCATCCCAGCTCTGTGAGCACAATCCCAGCCCTGAGAGCATCATCCCAGCCCTGTGAGCACAATCCCAGCCCTGTGAGCATCCTGCCAGCCCTGAGAGCACCATCCCAGCCCTCTGAGCATCCTGCCAGCCCTGAGAGCATCATCCCAGTCCTGCCAGCATCATTCCAGCCCTGTCAGCATCATCCCAGCCCCGTGAGCATCATCCCAGCCCCATGAGCATCATCCCAGCCCTGAGAGCATCCTGCCAGCCCTCTGAGCATCCTGCCAGCCCTGAGAGCATCATCCCAGCCCTGTGAGCACAATCCCAGCCCTGAGAGCGTCATCCCAGCCCTGTGAGCATCCTGCCAGCCCTGAGAGCACCATCCCAGCCCCATGAGCACAATCCCAGCCCTGCCAGCATCAATCCAGCCCTGAGAGCATCATCCCAGCTCTGTGAGCCCCAGCTCAGCCCTGCCAGCATCAACCCAGACTTGAGAGCAACAGTCCAGCCCTCTCAGCACTGCTCCAGCCCCACACCAGCACCATCCCAGCCCTGCCAGCATCATGCCAGCCCCATGAGCATCATCCCAGCCCCATGAGCATTATCCCAGCCCTGCCAGCATCAATCCAGCCCT